GCGCCGCCGACGAGGAGGGGAGCGCGCTGCGGTTCGTCCCGTCTAGACCGCGGGACACAGACGCCCGCACTCGAGCTGGCACTCGAGACCCCGCGTGCTCCTCTGCACTCCTCGCCCATGCCGCCTTCACGCCGCAGGTACGCCGCGCGCCTCTTTGAGCGCGAGATCGACGAGGACCTGCAGCCCGCCCTCTCCACCTTCGTGACGATCGAGGCGCACGCCCTCGAGGCCATCCGCGCGCTCTCGCCCTTGGCCGCCGCCTTCCGCTCCGTGTGCGGCGAGCCCGCCTTGCCGCAGCTGCAGCAGCTCTGCGCCAACCTCTCGGCTGGCTGGTGCGCGCGGAGCGAGCCCCGAGGCCGGCCGGCGCCGCCAGCAGACCCGCCCGTGTCCGCCACCGCCCCTCGGCAGGTGCACGCAGCTCGAGGCGCTGCTCGCCGAGTCCATCGGGCGCGCCGTCGAGCTCGAGGCGCCGGCCGGCAGAGAGACGCGGTCGAGAGACGCGGCAGAGAGATGCGGCGGAGAGATGCGGCAGAGAGATGCGGCAGAGAGATGCGGCAGAGAGATGCGGCAGAGAGATGCGGCGGAGAGATGCGGCTCTCGTAGAGGCCCTGCTCCAGAGCACACAAGTCCAGGCCGCCGCTCACGGTCCACCCCCCGCCCCCGTCGCCGCGCAGTCGTGGGAGCCAATCTCGGGGGGGCGGCCGGCGGTGCTGCGCTCCTCGTCGGTGGTCGACCTCTTCACCCAGCTCGACCAGCTCTGCGACGTCTTCATCAGCTTCGCCAGCCTGCAGCCCCTCCAGCCCGCCGACCTGCGCGCCTTCACCGACGTCGTCGAGCGCAAGGTCGGCCGGCACCGCACCGCGCCTCCATGCCTCCACGCCTCCACACGCCTCCCCGCCGCCCGCATCTCGCGGCGATGCGCGCCGCTGCGCTCTCTCCCCACCGCGGAACCTCGCCCCCGCGGCCGTCCAATCCCCCTTCCTGCCCCCTCCCCAAAGGTCGGGTCGTACGTGCGCATCGTCGCCGAGGGCTGCGTCCCCCTCCCCGCCTCCGCACTCGAGGGGGACGCGCGTCGGGCCGCCAGCGCAGTCGCCTCGGATGAGGCGCCGGCCACCTCCGCGGGCCGCTCGCGCTCCTCGCGCGCAAAGGGCGCCGCCGCCGGCCCGCCCGCCAACAAGGCGGCGCTCGAGGCCCAGCCGCTCGAGCAGCTCTGCCTGCGGCTCAACAACTGTGCGTGGGCGCGCGAGCAGCTGGGCAAGCTCGCGAGCAAACTGGTTGCATCGCTGCCAGACCTGACCGCCCTCGCCCGCACGCGCGTCGGCGGCGGCGGCGTCGACACGCTGATGGCGGGAGGGGCGTCGCAGTGCGACGCGGCGTGCGACGCCATCGCAAAGTACGTCGCGCGCAAGGTCGTCTACTACGAGCTCGGCTCCGCCTTCCTCACGCAGCTCTACCTGCCGTCGCCGCTCGATCCCGCCTCGCGCCTCGCGCCGCTGCTGACGCGCCTCAACCCCACCCTCGCCGCCATCGTGCGCGGCGTCGCGCTCGCCGCCTGGTCAAAGCAGGCGCTGCTCGCCGTGCTCGGCACCTTTAGCCTGGCGCTCACCGCGGTGCTCGAGGCGCCCAACCGGAGATACGCGCCGGCGCACCGCACCGTGTTGCTGCAGGACGTGCAGCGGCTGGCCGACTTCTTCATGGACGGCGGCCTGCTCGACGAGCAGGTGGTGGCCGGCTCCGTGTCGCCGCTCCGCGCGCTGGTCGAGGCGTCGTGCGCGGCTTGACGCCACCCTCACGCCGGGGCAGAGTGTACTGCGGGCGCCCCCTCTGTTGTCTTCATATGTGGTGAGGCCTACGGCTCTAGGTATTGTTACCGCAGTTACGTGTAAAAAGGGTGTGGATGCTGGGTTGAACAAAATCGGGGGACGCGACCCCCACTTCGCCACACAGACGGTCCCGCGCCTCGCCGCTATGACGGGGACACACCCCGCACCGTCCGCTGTGTCCCCGTCTTTGTCCGGAGTGAATACTCCAACGCGCTCGTCGGTGACGGCGTCCCCCGATTTCGCCGCGCTCGGCGAACCTCGACAGCGCTTTCGGTGGCATGCAGCTCTTTGCGACAGAAGCCTGGAGAGCAGCTCCTCTGCTGCTCACACACTCTGCACAGCTGACACAGCCTACTGTGCGGCTGCCACAGCTGTGCCAGCGATGGGCTCGCCCTCACTGGCCCTCAGTCAGTTGTGCTGCGGCTTGTGTGAGCGACACTGCTCGGCGACTGCCGGCACACTGTCAGACCATGGGTGTGAGGTAAAACCACGCTACCAGGTGAAGCAAAACTCGTAAAGAAAGAAAGAAAGAAAACAGACACGCCAAACGAGGGATGGGACGAGGACAGGGTCCCCACCTGCACGAGCAGGATTTTGGAAGGACGATCAGGGGGACAGGTGGGGCTCTCCTGCTCCTGACAAGGGACACGACAGGCTCGCAGCGCGGTGCGCGGTGGACTCCCACATCCAGCAAAACTCGTATAGGACAAAGCACCGCGGAAATTCTTTTTGCTAAACACGGCTGACTGTCCAGGTGAAGCAAGCAGTCGCCGCCCACCCACGACGTCGCCTCGTAGTTCTGCCGCGCACACCACCCAACCTCCCACCCTCCAGTACGGCTCCTAGCGCGCTCAGCGCCAAGGTCACGCATCGCACTTTACGGCAACGCCCTCATCGCAGCATAAACAAGCGCCCTGTTTCCACGTCGCAGGAATTTACACCAAAGCAAATGGGACGCGAGGTCAACATGCGCCGCGGCAAGTGGGGCTACTACCAAAGCACTTGCGGGTACACCCGCCTCAGCCCGGGATTCGACAACCTCGACAACTTGTGGACCTGGATGTACGACAACATCGGCGTCACCGTGGACACGCACCGCGGCGGCAGGTTTGCATCAGTGGCGGAGGTTCGGGAGGCCTTCGAGGAGTGCGCGCGCTTCTACGCGCCCGCGGCTGTTGCCGGCAAGCCCCACAGCCCGAAGGGACAGGGCCTCGCACAAAAGCCAAAGGCCGGCTCAAAGCCGGCGGCCAAGAAGGTCAAACCGCCACCAGCCAAGAAGGCCAAGCCGTCGAGCAAGAAGCAAAAGGTGGTCGACGTGCCGGTGCTCGTGGACTGAGCCCACTCGCGTGAGCGGCGATCCAGGAGAGCGACGTTGCGTGTGGGAGCTGACAAGCCGAAAGACGAGCTGCGGCGTGAAGCGAGTCACTGATTGCGTACACGTCCGAGGCGAAAAGAGTCTTGGGCTGTTTTCAGAGCACCGCTCGGGGGAGGCACGAAAGGAGTGCAGGGCGCGTGGTTCAAGGGGCAGCCAAGGAAGCGGGGATTTTGCGGCAAATGGCTGTTGTTGCCCCAAACCGAACGGCTGTTGCCATTCGCGTTGCGGCTCTTTTATATTTGGTGTGAGAAAAGGACCACAAACCCCGCTCCTCACTCGCTGCGACGTGCGAGGCAGTGGCAGTGGGTGATCTCCCCCTCGGCGCTTGTAGCTCTTACGGCGGTCGAGACGCCGGCGCCGGGCCCCTGCTGCTGCTCAAGTTAGGAGGTATCCTAGGACGACCAATTGATCTGTGCGTGAGTCTGTGTGAGTGTGTGCGTGTGTGATCACAAGCGGTGTCGATCGACATGATGTGGAGACGCTGCCTCCGGTTGGGTTCCGGTGAGGTGGAGTGAACACCGACTGCCACAGAAACACAGCGTGCAACTGAGTCGCCTCCAAGACAGTTGGATTGCCCGAACCTTACTAGGGTCTTCTCAAACGCATTCTCCCCCCTGCCGGTAGACCAGGCAGACCCCCAAAAGAGCCGTAGAACAGCACTCTAGTGGCGGGGGCGGCAACGGTGGTAACGGCGGCGGCGGCGGCGGCGGCGGCGGGGGAGGGTTCGATGTGAGCCATCCAATTAAGGCATCCTCGTATGTCCTGCCGACGAAACCGATCGTAGGCGTGAGAGGGGAGTTCGGGTCCAGGCAGACGTCCAGCGTTAGCACGATTGCTGCCACGCCCACCATTGCCATCAGAAACGGCCACCAGCGGACGTACTTGAATGCGAACGCTTGGAAGACAGAAGCAAGGGCCCAACAAGGGGAGAGAATGACGAGGAATCGAATCGGAATGAGGGCAATGAATAAAATGGGAAGAATGACGATATAGCCGAAGACTAAACCAAGGCGCGCTGCAAAGCCTTCAGTGTCGTTCAACGTGTCGTCGACGAAGGAGTGTTCGTCCTCGAGAAACAGCTTCCAGATTCCAAACAGGGCGAGCGACGCGGCAGCCCACGTCGACGCCAGAGCGCCAACGACCATGACGAAGAGCGAGGAAATCGCGCACGCTGCGTTGGAGCTGAGTGCTCCACCACTGCGGCCAAACGTGGCGGCGGCCCTGTCTTTCCAGTCGTGAGGCCCTGTCTTTGTCGTGAGGCACATGCGCGTCAGGCAGGTGGCCAGGAAGACGACACCACCAAGAAACAGAGCTCCCGATAGCACGTAGATTGCCACCTCTAGTGGACGCTGCTGGTGCTCGGGCAGGACAAGGATCACCAGAAGGAGGTAGCCGCCGATTAAGCAGAGGGCCAGGGCGTTGCTGAGGGTGCATCGCATGCTCGGGCGCTGGGTGCCTGAGGGGAGCAGGGTGCGGTGCACGTCAACAGAGGGGACGCGGCGTGGCGTGGGCGAGGAGCGTCGAGGGGACGCGGCGTGGCGTGGGCAAGGAGCGTCAAGGCACCTCGCCGACGCAGCCGCTGGTCCTGGTTTGACGCTATCGCCGGTCTCCTCGGAGACGCTGGGGGCGATCCGTGGACAGGGATTCCATCGACGACGACGTCCTTCGACTCGTGGGGAGGGGGAGGAGTCTCTCCGTGCGTGATCCTCGTGCTGGGTGTCATGGACGCAACCGCCGGACGTGACGCAAACTTGGGGAGCCCCGATGTCTTCCTTACACGTTACAGATCTTACTAGATCTACTAGTGGGGGGGACCTGCGCCGCGGACCCGCCTCTGTTGTTCGGGCAGTGAGAGACGCAGGATTTGCACGCCAAAGTGGGGCTCCGCATTTTCATTTTGGTTTTGGGTTGTCGGAGATCATCCATCAGCACTCATAAGTCAGTCAAAGCAGTCGTGGCACGTGAGCAGAGTCGCTGCATGCAACGGCGCCGCCACACGCTCCGGACGACCGACACACCGACACACCACGCACAATGGGAGGCTATCGCGCACGATCGGCCATCGCACCCACCGCAAACACCTCGCCGCACAGGTGGGGGGAGGCAGAATCCCACACACACCGGAGCAGCGCAGACACCTTACACGTCAGCGCTCGCTCGATGTGGCCGGCGCTCTCCCCTCTCCTATCGCCTTTTCAACGGCGGCGTGCGGCCACGCGCCGCGCCGAGCCGGTCTCGGCGGGAGACCTCGGAGCCGCACGCGATGCGGGCATGCGCGATGGCTCCGTTGGCTCCGTGCCTAAGGCAGATAGATTAGAGTGTGAGCTGCGGCAGCCACCGTTTCTGTACCTCGATCACGTGCAGGCCGTCGGAGGCCGCGCTGGATGGCCCAGGGCCGGCGGCGGTGAAGGCGTCCGTCGATGAAGGGAAGGGGTGTCGTCGAGGGAGCCATCGTCCTCCGCGGCTGGTGCACCGGTCCAGTTGTCGGAGTTCGAGATCGCCGTCGACTTGGAGACGTTCGGCCCGTTGACGAACTCACGGAATGTGAGCGACTTGGTGCACGCTGATAGTCGAGCATCATGGCTCGCACCTCATCCCGAGCACAAGGAACTCGCCCAGGGGCCAGCTGTTGGCGTCGCCGTTTTGATCGAGCTGCATCCACTGCATGGTTTCGTAGTCAAGCGTAAACGCCCAGGAGTTGGTGCCTGGGTGACTTGCTGATGAGAGCGCCTTCCAGGCGGGTAGTCGTGCCCCTCACCTAAGGTCATACGGCCGCGTCAGAGGGGGGGGGAGGGGCGCGAAGCGTGAACATGGAGGCAAGCAGGTGGTGGGCTGCACCTGGCCAAAGCCGGCGACCTCAAAGTTGTCGTAGGTTGTGCGGATATCGCTGAGCGTGAGAGGGACCGGATCGGCAGCAGCGTGGGCGGCAGCGGCCGGAGAGGCCGGAGAGCCGTCCGACGGAGGCCGGTCGTGCATCGGTGCGTCGGCCGTAGGGGCCGGGGGGGCGGCGGCATCCATGTATGTATATATCGCTGCGGGTCGCTGCGGGCCGACGATTGTGGACTGATCGATCGTCAGCGTCGGCGGGCGGTGTTCTCGTGTGTTCAGCTGGGACGTTGTTTTAATCCGTGCCATCCCCTCACCCCTCGTCACTACCCGACACTCTTGAGCACTTGAGCACTGGATAGGGTCGATTCCGCATGGTACGGGACCCCTCGATCGTCTCGCCCTCCCTCACACTGGTGTGTTCATTGGGGGGGGGTCATAACAAACACGGTACAGGATCGAGGTGCACGCTGCCAGAGCAGTGTCGTCCCCCCTCTCCCCGACGGCGATGGCGGTGTGACCGATCGAGCTACAAGAGGAGCTTGTTCAGCAGGATCCGACACTCTAGAAGAGCGGCGAGAGTTGGAGCAGCTGCGGCTGCTGCGGCTGCGAGAGGGGCCGGGGTCGCGGGAGAGCCGCTGCGCAGCGTGGAGACGCGCGCACACCGCTCTTGCTCCGCTCGCCACCTCTCGCAAAGGTCCACAAAGTCATAGCCACACCACCTTCTCCGGCAAGTCCTTTCGCCGCATCTTGCCGTCTCTCCACGCCTGGAAGAGCTCGTCGGCATAGCCGCATATATTGCATGATCACAGCCTCCCCTCATATCTGCGCGTTGGGTCTAGAACCCCCCTGCCACACCTCT